ACAACCATCTGTAATGAGATCTGGTGCCCTCTTCTGGCCTGCAGGCATACATGCAGGCAGAATATTGCATATATAATAAATAAATCTCAAAAATGAACAAACAAACAAAACCTACAAAGGACTGGGCGCTGGGGAAATGGCTCAGCAGCTCTGGGCTCTTTCTGAGCAAGTCTGAGCAAGTGTGAAGACCGGAGCTCAAATCTCCAAACCCATGTAAATAGCCAGGCATTGGTTTATAAACACAGTGCTGTGGATGTGGAGAGGAGGATCGCTGGGGTTGCTGGTAGCCAGCCTAAGTCTAGGCTCCCTGAGATACCCTGTCTCAAGGGACTACGGTGAAGAGATAGATGCCATGTCCTCATACAGCATCAGTCCTCTGGGCGCCACATACATGTACACCATACACATAAACACATAACACACATAAACACACAGAAAAACAACTGCGGGCTAAGGAATAGAAGGCTTGCTCAGCACAAATCCATATAGGAAAACTTGAAAGAGAGCCTTTGCTTGATTTCTGGATACAAGAATCTACTAACCTTTTCTGGAATGTCTCAGTGATTGGATTTGTTCTTATCCACGATACATTCATGATCCAACGAAGAGCTAGGCTATTCTTTATCTACTTAAATGTGTATCAGTGTTGTATTAGTCAAGGTTCTCTACAGTAACAGGACTTATAGAATGACTGTTTTATATATACATATATGTGTGTGTATATAATGAATATATATATATATATATATATATATATATATATATATAATGAACGTGTGTGTGTATGTGTGTGTGTGTGTATATACATATGGGATTTATTAAAAAGACTTATACGCTGTGGGTCCAGCTAATCAACAATGGCTGGCTGTGAATGGAAAGTCCAAGAATCTAGTAGTTGCTCAGCTCATGAGGCTGGAAGTCTCAGCTGGTTTGTCAGTAGACACTGGAATCCCAAAGAGGTACGCTGTACTGCCGGTGAAGGAATAGACTTGCTGGCAAGGTGAGGGCAAACAAGCAAAGAGCAAAAACCTCCTTCCATGTCCTTACAGAGGCTTCCAGTAGAACGTGTGGCCCAGATTGATTGACTGGCCTGGAGAGATGGCTCAGAGTTTAAGAGCACTGGCTGCTGGAAATCCTGAGTTCAGTTTCCAGCAACCACATGGTGGCTCACAACTATCGATAATGAGATCTGGTGGACTCATCTGGCCTGTAGGCATACATGCAAACAGAACACTGTATACAAAATAAATTAATAAATCTTAAAAAAAAGATTTGACCAATTGATTTCCCTTTGTTTTGTTTGTTTGTTTGTTTGTTGTTTTTTTGAGAAAGGGCCTTATTGCTTACTTTGTAGCTCTGGCCGTCCTGGAACTCTGAACTCACAGAGATCCATTTGCCTGGGCTGGGATTAAAGTGTATGCCCCACCATGCCCAGCAAGAAATATTTTGAAAGTACTTTCAGATTCTTCTCTTTCTTTCTGTCGGGAGCACCAGGTGGCTTCTGGGTCATCCCATGTGATCCCAGAGTTCTGAGTGATGTCTCCTCCCCAGGGTCCCCCCTTCTGCTAGTGTCTCCAGGGCTGTTATCTGCAGCGCCGCCAATTGAACTCAGGCCTTTGCACGTGGTAAGGATTTTCCCTCTCTTTCTCTCTTCCACTGAGCTACATCCCCGGGCCCCATCGTTTATGTGTGTCTGTGTATTTTTGCACATTTTCATGTTTGTCGGCATGTGAGGGCATGTTCAAGCACAGGGAGGCCCAGGGTTGAAGTCAGGAATCATCCTTGATTTCTCTTCCATCTTAATTCACCGAGGCAGGGCCTCTCAGTCAAACCCAGGGCTCACTGGTAGAGTCTTTCCAGCCAGTTTGCTGTGGGGACCCGCGGTCCCTGCTTTCCGAGGCTGGAATCATAGACATCCCAGTCACCACCCTCCCCTTTCCCCTTGAGACAGGTCTACCTATGTACCTCAGGCTAGCCTTAAAGTCGAGAGCCTCTGCCTGAGCCTCCTCGCACGCCTGGACTGCAGGGCTGTGCTACGGTACCTCACCCAAGGACATGTCAGTCACTGCTCTTGTGATACCAGACAGCCCAGGAGTGGCTCTCGGTAGCTTTACAACTTGGTCAACAACCTCAGCCCTTTCTGTTTGAAGATTTTTCTCAGCTCATCCCCCCCTCCCATGTGATCGTCACTTACTTTCTTCTCAGTCTGGGGGATGAGACAGGCAGGGCCTGTGGGATCTCAGCCTGGCTCACACTGTGGGATCAATGGGAACGACTTCTTTTCTCCCGGGATGTGTCACTTTGCTTCAGCTGGTGAGGCCTCCTGCCCACATCTCACGGGCCTGTCAAGCTCTCAGGATGACATCTGAATCTACGTTGTTCGCCTCTCTTTGAGCTTCTGTTTTTGTGAAATGGGATCACATGGTCTGTGAGGTAAAACTACAGCCACACAACACGGAGCACTAAACAGCTAAGATCAACAACAGTTTATTCCCCACAGCTCTGGAAAGGACAGCTCGCTGGCCATCAGAGCCGCTTACAGCAGGTGAGCGAGAGGCTGGCTTTGCAGGGTCTGGAGGGTGAAGGGCTGTACCGGCTTCATTCTTTTTTAGATGTATTAAGTATAGTGTTCTGCCTGCATGTATCCCTGCAGGCCAGAAGAGGGCGCCAGATCTCACTACAGATGGTTGTGAGCCACCCTGTGGTTGCTGGGAATTGAACCCAGGTCCTCTGGAAGAGCAGTCAGTGCTCTTAACTATTGAGCTTCATTCTTTTGCTGTGATAAAAACACTCTTGACTAAAAGTGGCTTGTCAAGGAAAGTGCTTATTTGGCTTACACGTCCAGGTTGTGATCCATCAAAAAGGGATGTCAGAGAAGAAACCTGAGCAGAAACCACAGAGGAACACTGGTCACTGGCTTCTTATGTGGCTCACACATTCACAGGTGCATGCTTAGTTAACTTTCTTGTACAGCCCGGGACCACCTGCCTAGGGGTGGTGCCGCCCACAGTGGCCTGGGCCCTCCTATATCAATTAGTAACCCAGACAATCCCCAAAGACATCCCCACAAGCCAGTCTGATCTAGTCCGTTCCTAGACTGAGGCTTTCCTCTCAGGTGACTTTATGCCAGCTTGACAATTGGTGCTTCACTAGAACAAGGACCCAATTCTGAGGGAGAATAAGATCGGCTTATCTGGCCAATTCCATCAGTGAGCAGGAAGTAGAGTTGATCTCTTGCATGAGGGAAGGTGTCTAACCAGACCTTTCCAAGGAGGGGCTGAGGAGGACCAGTGGTCAGGTCGTTCTCAGGTACCTGACTTCCACCTTTGACCTTGTGACACAATGGCATCACCTATGAAATCCACTCTTGAGGACCATGCGATGGAATGACAATAAATAAAACCTCCAAACCCTCACTGTTTGAAGTAGGTTTACAGTTAGGTGTAGGACCACATTCAGAGCTGTTCTGGGGCGCAGAGAGGCCATGGGCACTGTTGGAAGACTGCTTCAGACCGTCCATCACAGGAACTCGTCGGTGGGTTCTGATGACTGCTTTCCATTTCTCCATGTGATGCACACATCTGTACCTGGCCTGACACTCAACATCCTCCCCAGCTTGGGCTGGGGATGTTTCTAAAATCAAAGCACCCCAGAGCTGTTCTTCCTTGTATCTCACTGCTTGTCTTTCTGTGACTCTGAGAGGAGGAAGATAAGGGGAGAAAGAAGTTTCATAGTAGGAAAAGGTTGAAATTTAAAACCATATCTACCATCATCCATATTTTCTACATAGTGATTTTTTTTTTCTTTTTCAGTACTAAGTCTCGAATCTGGGGCCCCATACACACAAAACAAGTTTACCAGTGAGGTCTAGCCTCAGCTTCAGAATGACCCTTTCTTTCTTTCTTTCTTTCTTTCTTTCTTTCTTTCTTTCTTTCTTTCTTTCTTTCTTTCTTTCTTTCTTTCTTTCTTTCTTCCTTCCTTCCTTCCTTCCTTCCTTCCTTCCTTTCCTTCCTTCCTTCCTTCCTTCCTTCCTTCCTTCCTTCCTTCCTTCCTTTTTTCCTTCCTCAGCTTCAGAATGACCCTTTCTTTCTTTCTTTC